CCTGTAAATGCAATCTCCATAACTTCGTCGATATCGAAGTTGAAGAGGAAAGGTGACAGCAGGCATTCTTGTCTCACACCGCTGGAGATATTGAAGGGTGGCGACAGTTTGCCCATGTTACGCGCGTATAATGCTCGGATAATATTTACATATTTCTCGGGTACACCTTTCCTGAGTAGACAATTCCAAAGGGCACATCGATCAACTGAATCGAAGGCACCTTTGATGTCGAGGAACACGACAACGGTGGGCCGCCAATATGTGTGGCGGTGCTCCAACATCTGACGCAAGGTGAAGATGTTGTCGACGCAACCACGACCACGACGAAACCCGGCTTGCTCCTCACGAATCTGGCTTTCACGAGCGCCAGTCAGTCTGTGAAGAATTATGGAGGCAAGTAATTTGGAGGCGATGGAGATCAGACTGATTCCTCTATGGCTGCCGCATTCCGAACACGAGCCTCCTTTGAAGATGGGAACAATAACGGAGCGGCTCCAGTCGGTTGGGACAGACTCCTGCTCCCACGGTTTCACTAGTAATTCATGTTAAGCATCAACAAGAGTAGAGCCTCCGAAGTTGAAGAACGCTGGAGGAAGATCATCTGGTCCCGCGACTTTGTTCAGCTTCAACAGTCCGATCTCACGTCGACTACTGAGTGAGGGCGTGGATCCAAAGGGACAGCCCACGGAGCAATGCGATCCCTGGCCTGCGAAGAATCGAACAATTCTAGCCGATTAAATTGCTTTTCAAAATGCTCAGCCCAACGCTTCAAACGTTTTGACAAATTGTGGATAGGCTGTCCACTCTCGTCACGTATAGTTTCACTAACACCAGGTCTTCTGCTGCCCGTTTCCCGTATCAGACGGAATAACTGCGATTGTTGCCAAGGGCAGCGACCACTTTCCATCTCTGATGCCTACAGAACCAGTAGAAGAACCCTGTCATCAGACGAATAATACCAGACCGCAGAGTACGGAATTCGAATCCAGAACACTACAGCGAAGGCGATGCACCGGTAGGCGAAGAATCGCTTCCAGGAGGCTCCAGGTTAATCCCCGGCTAGCTTCATACACAACGGCAACAGCTTCAGGAGGGGAGGTATGCGGGAATCAGATAAAAACATAAAAGAAAAAAGGGAAAGTATATAATGGTGACTGAAAGCTGGGCTAAAGAGAATCGCCTACCCCGTGCGGTCGATCAGGCAATCGATCGAGCGGACGAATGCGTTTTTCAAACACCCGCCTAATTGGACTTTTGCCTCAGAGTTGAGAGGACAGTGTTTTCGGCGGCATTTTCTGGCTACGTTGGCAGAGTTTTTGTTAACATGTTTTTCGTGGTCAAGGCTGTTGGAATTTTGATTTTTCTTCGGCTGGGCTAGAATTACTGCGGAGAAATTCCTGGGTGGTTAATTCGGAATAGCGAAAAGGGGAAGATCTAACAGTGCAGATAACCAATGAACATTGGGTTGGGTAGGGTAGGTTGAACACAACGGTATGTATAGCGTAGCACAGGGTCTGTGGTAGAAAATCAATAGACAGATGAGCGCATCACATTTTCAACGCTTCCGCGAAAGGTGAGCAACGTTGACAGCAGCGGTGGTGATCAAAGAGGCATTTTATCAATAGTTTTTAGGGTGGTGGTCACGTCTGTGGCTCGTATGACAACACTGGTAGCATTATGGCGCTACATACCCTCTACCGGAAGGGTATACTGATGATTTAGCGTTGCCAGATATGACTGAATTTTCGAAGAACCACACAGGACCTACCAATGAGGAGAGTAACTGATGAGTTGATCGGCAAATGGGATAAAAATATCGAATAAAGTGAATTGATCAACCAATTTATGTGAATGTTTGGCAATTGTGAGAAGAGGTGGTGCGTAAATAAAACTAGGTGACGGTACGTAGAAATGTGGTGTGGAACATGTGTTGAAGAACGGAGTGACCTGCGTTAGTTAATCTAGAAGGGATTGCGTATGGGTCGGGCCTGAACAAGAGGAACTGTTGTGCATATACTATCATTTTGTGGACTGGTTGTCTAGCGTAGATTGTAATATCGAAGTAAAAAGGATAAGGTCATTTACGATCTTTTCGATCAAAGTGTTGAAGACATATGGACATATAAGACAGCAGTAACTGTGTGTACTCGAACCCTACACTGATGCGTGACATTGAGCAGAATAACTGTCTTCCATACTTCGACATACTGTTCACACGGTGATTGGATGGGTCGACAGGTCAGTTTACCGAAAAGCACCATGGACAAGTCAGTATTTGCATTTCAAGAGTTTCTCCCCGATACAACACAAACGCTCGCTCTTTCAGACGCTATTTGATCGAGCACACGCAAGGTGCATCCCGGACACATTAGAAGCGGAGGAGGATTTGCCGTTCGAGACACTACAATCGTACGGTTGTCCGTTACCTTAGCGACATAGCTAAACGAGCTCATGCACCAGCAGTCCAAAAGAAGCCGGTCTTTGACGAACTGTCATCCAAAGATGAGCATATCATGGAAACCACCGCGAAACATATTGGTGCCTAGGTAAAAGGGCGTACAATGCAGATGAACTACGGTTGATCACATCAACAACACCTCAGCTTATGTGTTCCATTAGGACACCGATAACAAAGAAGCACATGTCCCATTGCTTACACAAATTCGCCGGTAATTGCAGAGACAGCTGTGTCGGGCGCACTGACCGAAGTTTAGGTGTCAGGATAAAGGAACACATTCCTATGGAATTGGTGACGGCGAAATCGGGTGAACTGAGAAACCGAGCTGCCTCACCAATCGCAGAGTACGGCCATCGAGTCAACCTTGATGAGCTATTCACTGTCCTGATGCGCAATCAGTGACCCCACACTCTTAAACTATAGGAATCCATTGTGGGAGATTGCGAGCGGCCGCTGCTTTGTAGACAGAGACAGCTGACTGTAAATCGAATTTACCGCGGTAATGCAATGTGTGCCGATTGGCCAACGACTGGCTGGTATCAGTAGTACGCCGGTACGGAGTACCGACGCCTCGCTGCCGCATAACCACGAACAGTTGCGCGTGGGCCAAGGATACTGAGAGGATCGTCCGGTCCCGTACGCAAGCTTGAACTCGCGCCCTCGGATTACGAGGCAGGTTTGTGATTCATTAGATCAAGGTTGTGACTGACGAGCTTGCGCGAAATGAATGAAGCATCTCATAGTTTAGGTTTTATGATTTTTATATTTACAAATCCAAAGAGACGAACCGGAATCTCAGACTGTAAGGATTTCCCTGCCACTGCTGGATGGGAAGGTAGGGCAAAGTAAAGGGAAACCTACCTCATGAGAAAACATTGATGATTCCCAGCACCCCAGTCCTAATGTCAACAGGAAGGTCCAGGGCGTTTTTGAGCCGTACGAAATAAGATGAGGATTTGGCGTCAAACTTGCAAGGGATGTTGAACAACAGGAGTCCGGTAGATCTTTGAAGACATTCAAGAAGAAATTGGAGATAGGGAACAGTCTGGAATTATCAGTTGTAGAGGTAATGTCTAAAGCAACCACAGATTCCAGCGACATAGGAATCGGAGTGATACAGAAGTGAAGCAAATGAAGTTGAAGCAAATGAGTACAGCAGCAGGATGTTAACACTATCGGGACGCAAACACCTGACAGCATTTGAAGATTTCGCGACTGTTTGAGCGTTGGGCAGATGGTGGCCGTATTTGATGGGGGGCGATTGCACGCCGAAATGCATCATAAGTCTTCGGAATGGATTATGTCCGCCATAGACCCCAAGGGGACGTCGGTGCGACGTGTGCTGGAAAATTAGTAACATGACTTCAAGATAAACTCCGTGCCGCGGAAAGTGAACTGAGCAGTAAATCTTTTGTCCCCGATGACAGAGGTAGATGACTTACCGAGAGCTGTTTTCGGTATCAATGGTATGTTGTTGGAGCAGGATTGGGGGCAGCTGACATCGGAAAAAAACGTGGTGATGTACTCCGGCACAAGTGATTCAGCAACTAGCCGTAAACAATAATCAGAACGAACGGGTAGGGTCCCCCGCGAGTATTCTTAGCATGTGGGCTCCAGCAGCCACCTGACTGTGGGTGCAATGCTCGCAAAAAGTACGTGCCTTAGGTTCAATCGTTTCTTTAATAGATTGGGTCTTAAACCAGATTGCACTTCACCGTTTCCCTCGTCGCAGATTGGCAAGATCATCTTCGCCGGTACACAAGTGTAACGAAGAGCCACAACAGCAGTTCGAAGTGATACACACGTCTCTAAGCATTGTGTGCAGAGGACTGCGCCCCCCCCCCCCCATCAAGAGCAATATGACCGGACAATCGGAAGCTTTGGAACATTGTAACTGTTGCTACAGCTGTGGAGCAGTGACATGTCTCTCCCTTCTCCCCCAACCTTGCCAACATAAACCATTGGGTTACTCAGTAAGGAATGATTGAGGAATCCAGGTATTATAAAGGGTTAGATGCTAGGCGGAAGAAGTGAGTGCACTATTTTTGAAAGTGAAGGTGACAAACACTACTTCCTAATGCTCAGTAATCGCCTTGGCAGTTTAAAAGTCACCTCGATCGGTGGCGGCTTGCAAAGAAAGTCGCAGCTCTGAGAGCTAGTCCTGTCCTCCGCAAGTTCACAACATGCATGACAGTGGAGAATGAGCCACGCCATATCGCAGTTAGACATAAGTCATGGCGATGCGCTGCCGTTGCCATGGCTCGGTGGCATAAGTCGCTGTTTCGCAACAGTAAGGTCGTGGGTTCGAATAAGGCAGGATTCGGCGAGTGTGTGCTAGGGACGAGTCACAATAGGACGAAACGGCAATCCGGCACGTTGCTGGATCTGCACTGGCTGCCTGGGTGGGCCTAACTGCGACGAATCTTCTCAAAAAGCACAATAACCCCCAAGTACTTTCTAGAGATAAGCAAGTTTCGATCAATGTCACCAATACTTAACATGAACGGTAAAAAGAAAAAAAAGAAGTCTAACAAGAGAATACCTTAGACTCTCCATCCTCGGGTGCACCTAGCTTCTTACATAGGAAGGAGAAAGTTGGATGAGCTTTGGCAAATTCGGGACTCATTCCGATGGCTTCATGATCATCAAGATACATACCACCGGTGGATCGCCACAGCGTGCAGTACCGTTTCAGATAATCCAATTCAGCACCTCGTCTTTCGTCGGCAGATATTTCAATTCGATTCAGCATCGGCAGGTGGGGCAGGCGGGCGATCAGTTCCTGTCGACCGGTTTGCCTATGCGAACGCAAAACAGACTCGGTTAACAGGGATAGGGAAAGCGATAGAACTAAAATAATTGATCCGACGAAGGGGGACTAAAAGTAGTGCGGGAAAAAGTGGTGATCCTCTATTGTAATTACAGCAAAATACATTCCTGGATGTAAATTCACTGAGAAGTTTTATACAGAAGCTAGAGGTCGGATCAAATGGAAAAAGTTTTCAAGTAGCAAGCAGATTCTGCTACGGTGAAAAATTGGCAAGTTTCAAATAACCCTTCTACATGTCACCGTCATGACTATAACGATTGACCAGTGGCACTCGCCACAAGCTGGTGTGACGCAGATAAATTTCAGTCGCTTGAGGCGAGTGTCCATATGTTTGGCTACCTTGAGGGTTGTAAGTTAAGCACGAATAACCAGAGCGTATGAGAATGCAAACTGATCCGTGTTTTTAGAAAATAATGAATAGTGGTGTGACAAGCGATAAGGGGTGACCTGGGGGAAAGTGTCGAGGACAAATGCGTATCCGAATGGAAAATGCAATTGAAAACAAAAAACACTCACGCATCAAAGTTCTCTAAGACAGGACAGTCTAGGAACAACAAATGGTTCAATTTTGGCAAATGAAGAAGTTGTGAAACAACCGACCAATCCGCGAATTGCGTCTCCTTTATTCCCAACGTGGTCAAATGACAGAACCACGAAGAAGGTGTATAGGGGCAAGGACCGGCGTCGCGGTGCACACAGGCTAATTGGTTCGTGGCAACTGGAAGTTCAGGAAAAGAAGAGATCGCATTTCGGTTCAAAAGCAAACAATCCAAGACGGACGATGGGCCAATAACATGAAACAGTTGTCTCAAGTCCGTCATTCCGGTATGTGTTAGATCCAGTTCGATCAGCTGACGAAGTATGTTTGCCACGTCCATTGGCAAGTCAGGTGGAACGTTGCCCAACTGAAAGTAGAAAGCAGATCACAAACACCGGCAAAAGATAGAAAGCATCAGTTCAAGTGAACGCGGAATGAGAGAACAGTAGGCTATCAGAAGTAAATGGCACGGACAGTGAGGAGTCTTGGTGGAACAGATAGTAGACATTGAAACGGGCAGCCGAAAACAAGTCAAATACGGTGAAGTGCTGTAAAAGTGCACTGATGGGGATGACAAAGGAAAGCCCCAGAACAACAAGACGGAATATGCATACCTCTAACCGATTGTGTCAAATAAGATCATTGTTGCGGCCCACTGAGGAATAAGCAGCAGAGGGATGATGATTAGAGACGAAAAAGAGCCATCTGGTCTTACGGTAGTGGGACTAGAACGTCGATAAAACTTCAAGATCGCAACCACAGAATTGAACCTAGGCGCTCAAACAATTTAGTTTGCGTCATTTAAATGTGTCGAAGCAGTGCACGTCCCATTGTCTATAAAAATTCACATGTATCTACGGAGACAGCTATGTTGGGCGCGCTGATCGAAATCTCGGTGTCCGGATCAACGAACACATTCCGTAGTGGTTCCAAAAACGGATGGAACATGCGACAGTTTCACCGGATGAATCAAGTAGCACGGCTGCCTCAGCAATTACAAGGCATTTGATGAACACAGGTCACCGGGTAAACCCGGATGAATCATTCACAGTCATCACGCGCATCCAAAGAGCTAACATTTGCAAACTTCTCGAGGCCACTGTTATCGATCAACAGCGCCCAACGCTCTATATCATCAACAGCTTACTGTGACGTTAAGCCTTCCGTGGTAGAGAATAAGGCACAATCTTAATTCCGTTGATCGGCTTATGTGAGCTTAATTTGGTTTCTTTGTTATTTGCATGTACGTGGCCGATGAGAATGCACGAAATGACTGTCAACCCACGACATTCGTTTTTTGATATTCTTGTTTGGAATTCATGTTTCAAATGTAGTTTAAGCATGGAGAAGCGCCGCGTGAACCATGGCAGAGTGCGTCAACCGAATCATGACACCATCCCATGTGAACCGAGAAGAGGAGCGGGATTAGACGTGTATTCCGGTGACCAATGAAGCGCAAGCAACTCTGTAGACATAGAATAACGTAGCGCCAAGACATAAGCTCGCCCAACGAGACGGGACCATAAGGTGGTGAGACAGTTTGCGTACCGCCTTGAAACATAGGCGCCTCCGGGTCCCTTGAGAACTACTCCTACAAGGTTGGTCAATGGTTAGAGGTCAGACAAACTCACTTCTTTAGCCCTAGTATAACCCTGAGAATGTCCTCTAACTTCAATCATATCCTGCATCGGCCGTCGCGCAGCTTATCAAGGGTTGCCTTATCTGCTGCATAAAGCAGGGCGGACAAGCGAAAACATGCTATAGCTGGCGCAACCTTTCTAGCTTTTCCAAAGGTCTCTTACTCCCCACTCGACCCCATTAATAAAACACGACAGTAGCCGTAATGTCACTACAGTTCTATCATTTGCAGCTATCTTACCGCACTATCCACTGGGCAGCTATCGGCAGCAGCTCCTTATAAGGAACCGCTGTCCTGTTTTCCTGGCAGCAATCAACGTTCGCACTCCAAGACAAATAGCTCAACAGGCTGCGCTAGTACGTACGTTGGACACACCGTGTATTTACGAGGTCGTTGAACTAAATGCATTTGGCTTGTTATCTCGCTATTGGTTACATGCATCCGGAGACGCTGACGCGGCAACCACAGGTCAAGCTGGAGGGGGCAATGTTCGCAGCTCCAAGTCTGATTTATCGTTGGTTGATTGGATCTCCGTGAGCAGCCGTTTGTGTGCAGCTCGTTTGATGGCATCAACTGAGGTTGATTCAGGAAGCGGTACAAGATGCTGTTTGTTTATGGTTTCCGCATATACCAAGTACGCATTCTACTGCGAAGTGAACATGCTACTGCACAGTGTTACCAGTTCAGATATTATAGTTTTTGCGGGGAATATGAATGCGTAAGTTAATCGTCTGAGCACCAAAGAAGCTCACCTAGGTGGTAAGTATGGAGTTAACTCTGATCGGCTGGACAACAGCGAAGGTCTGTTGCAACCGTTTGGGGACCACCGGCTTTTTATTAGTAGCACCGTAATTAGACACCGTGGGCAACGAAGTGCCACTTGGCGTCCACCTACAGCTGGCCAGCGATGGATCCAAATTAGACACGTTGCCTTTAAGTTACAGGTGGCGTGGTTCCATCCTAGATTGTTGCTAGCTCTGGAATACCTGCGTCGACTCTGATCATGCCTCGGTACATTGTCGTTTTTCCATGGAGTCTACAGGGAGGCGTACCAAGCGCCTACCAAGGTTGGCAACTGCCAGGATGCTCTGTGTACCGAACTTTCGCCCTCTCGTCCTAATGACACTGAGCTTCAATGGGATAGGATCTCCGTCACCCTGCACGAATCAGGAGCATTTGCTTGCGGCACAATCAAGCGCCACCGCCCCAGTCACTGGATATCCGAGAAGTTGAGGAATCTATGGTAATTCAGGGGAAAACTCCTGGCTGGCTCTGAGCACAAGGTAACTAGGCGGACTATTGGGTACGAACTAAAGCGGAGCCTACGTAATGACAAGGAAACCTGGTGGACCAGTCAGGTGGAGATAATGGGGGAGAGGCTGGAGTAGTAGGCAATTAACGCAAGCTGTTCCAACTGATCCGTAACACTGGTCCAGGAAGTGAGGTATCACGTGTCCTGATTCGCAATAAGCAGCGTCGTATGGCTCTTCAAATGGAGCAGTTTCGACAGCAGTTAAGTTCTCCCCTACTTCCAGAACCGTTCCTACTCAGCTGGCGCAGCCTGAACCATGACCGATTAATTCAGAAGCTCCGTCAGAGGCTGATGTCCGAAAAGCGATTGCAACTCGTAATCGTTTTCGAGATAGTACCTCAGATTCACTCAGTAAAACACTAGCATCCTTGTTCGAACAGGTTTGGAAGGAAGAAGACAGCCTAGTTAACTGGAGTGAATCGACTATAGTGGCAATATAGAGGAGGAGAAGTCGCACCAACTGTGCGGACCACAGGGATAATACCACAACGCTGGTGGTGATGAAATTACTGCCTCAATACTCATTCGTGGCCTCACTGCAGAACGAGTCCTGGATTAAGGAAGAACAAACAGGTTTTCGAGCAGGACGGGGCTGTACAGACCATATATTCACTCTGCGGCAGGTGCTAGAGCAGCGCCACGCATACCACAGATCGACAATAGTCGAATGCACTCTTAAGGGCGCATTCGACTCAGTCGATCGACGCATTCAGATGGAAATGTGCGGAAAAATGTATCCATGAATGATGTGAATATTTTACGTGCCATATGCTCGAACAGCACATACCGCGCCAGGATCTATGGTGACTTATCAGATATCTTCCCGACAGTAAGTAGTGTTCAGCAGGGTTGTCCAATTTCCCCATTTTTGTTCAACTTCGTCATGGACTCCATCATGGAGTGATCTTTTGCGGAGCCTCACGACGCATGCGTTGAGGCACTGCCTGGTGAAAAGCGGACGATATTGTTTTACTGTTTAACGATGTTGGAGAGGCATAATCAACACTGAATAACCTCTCCAGTGATCCCATTATTTGGCATGCGTTTCGCACCATCAAAAGACTGTAACAGGACCACTAGTCGCTTGATGACCTCTTGATTCTTGATAGCGATTTACTCGAGGTAGTTGATCAGTTCATTTACCTTGGCAGCTGCATCAGCAATGATGGGCGCATAAACAGTGAGGTCAGTTCACGTACTGCAAAAGCTAGAACTGTCTTCATGAATCTGCGACATTTGTGGCGTCAGAAAGGGGTTTTCCTCAGTTTGAAAGGTCGTGTTTACAAGGTCACAGTGAGGGCTACCCTACTCTATGGTGGTGAAACTTGGCCCTTCAATCCGATGACTTGCGATGTCTTTGAACATTGTCGTCGGCTAAGCATTGCTGGTGCCAGGTGGACCCAGTGTGTCCGCAACGATAATGTGCGTAGCCGAGTACTAGGTAATGACAACCAATATAGTGCCTTAGAACAACACAAAGCATGGGAGAAGTTGCGTTGGCTTGAGTATGTACTGCGTATGGCCGGTCATAGCTTACCGGGGAGGGTATTGAATTTTGCCAGATGTTGTGTGGCGCAATGCGGGCAAAAATTAACTTGGCAGCGGTAAACGAAATCACTGACGATCAAACTCGGTGCCGTTGGTCCTTGTAGCCTCCCAGGTTGGAGTTCACGTGACCTGTCTTGTGCTTGGCTCGAGAGGTTATAGGACCTGACTCGCAATCGGCACCAGTGGCATGTCTGCTGTCGTCTCCTAGTCGTACTGCTTCTTTAAAGTGTGTTTGGTACTGTTATTTGGGGGTAACGGCTGATTGTGAGGCGCGGCAGTGAAAACTAAAGAAAGTGCCTTGCTGATGCCGCCTTATCATTGAATGATAGCCAGCTGTTTGTGACGGCATGCTGTTGGTCATGAAGTTTTGCTTGGGGTATTCAGGTTTTAGCCAGGTCCCCCTTTTATTTTTCGTTTCGTAGATTACCGTGGTTATACGGCAGCGAAGCATCAGTTCAAACAGCTGATGTATTTCTGTTGCTGCTAATGTAGATACAAGGTTTTCGTACCGTCTTAGCAGTGTCGTAACAATAGTGAGGGATTTCTTACATAAGTTTTAGAGAATGTAATTAAGCATATCACATTCGGAGTAGTAGAAAGACCTAGAATCAGGACAATGAAAGCCCACAACTAATCGATCTTGGACCCCCATAGACAACCCAGTCAGGCTTGTCGATACCACTTCGGTAAGTTGCAAGAAGCGTGGATTGCTGTAACTTGCTAGCATTGAGAAGGCAGAGATAGAAGTAATCCGGTAAAAAAGGTGACAATATGCCTAAGTGTGGGTGACATCGGCTGTTGTCCTGTACTGTGTCCCAGATGCACCGCAGATGGAAACTCAGACCGAATGCAAGGTCATAGTAGGTGTTACCTGGTGGCTGAGCTGTCAGTGTGTGACGCTGAAAGACACGATGTGGAATAGCATCGTAGGTTGAAAAAGTAGGTTAGTATAGCTGAGGAAGTCAGCCACGATCAGGTGCTGCCAGTAACAAGAGGGGATACATGGAAGAGATCATCAACAACTGGACCTTGTGAACAGATAATACTCTACGACTGTGCATTCCGGGAGTAGGGGCCGTAAAGTCATCAGGGGATAATTTATTCAACCTATGTCCGATATTGAGCGTCACAGAAAACATAACTTATAAATACTTGTGTTCAAATTTTCCTTCAGACAGGTTCGTAAACAAAAAATCAGCATCAAGGAAAGCCATGCGTCGTACATACCTAAGTGTGAGATTTTATCGAGGAAATAATGCATATTATTGAGCTGCACCCAGCTAACTCAGAGCAGAGAAGTAGGGATTGAGGAATACAGTCAAGACATTGGGTGCATTCGCAACGCAATTCTCAAGAATACATGACATCTAACGATTGTAGAAAGCAAAAGACAAAGAGAAAAAGCAGTCAGTCGGTTAACATCCGTGATGCGGAACTCGGGAAGTGGTAGAACGCTGTGTCACAAACACGGTTCATGCTATTCAGGAAACTGATACCAGTCCCATTCATTTCATTGCTTCATTAAATGAATATGATGCCAACAGAGAGTACCCGGAATGAGCTTAATTTCCACAGTTTCATTTGAATGTTGCTGCCTCTTGTCGGTCCAAACAACTTTGTTGCTTTTCCGTGTTGTAGTTTGTGTTGCAACAGCCCATTCAACCTATTCGCCAGCCCTTATTTCGCTGAGTTCACCACCAACAGTTGTTTGGAATGACATCGATGGGCTGTCGTCGGTGAACAGCGACACAGGGATGCAGATCTGGGTAGTTGTAAACCAATGGCTTAGTACCTTTATACAGATCCCTAAGTTAGAGCGTACAAGCCTCCTCGACTCGATCTGAACGTTTGTAAGGTGGATAGAAGATAGAGTAGTTCAATGCTAACTTGTGATGGGGTGTCGTTGGAAGAACTCACCTCCCATCGGTATCGATGGCGAAATAGACCGCACCTATCTGTAATGTCACTAATGGATTCATCAAAGTAGGATCTGATGGTACAGCTCAGAAGGTCCACGACACCAACTAACCGGCTGTGAGTTCGCGTGGAAGAGTTAAGAACCCATGTTTCGACTTCTCTGTCATCCAAAACCGGTAACGCACTATAAGGACAGATCGCCTCAAAGGTAAATTAAATGTGTATGTGTCATACGTGAAAACAAAAGATAAAACGCAATGTTTATCAGCTAGCTATGGATTCGCCAGAATCAAAGAATGAATCGTGCAGGGCATCGGACGTCTATCCAGAGCAAATCCACACTTTCTTTAAGTATATTTCAGAACTATCAGAGAGAGGAGAGCTGGCTTGGAGGTGGGACCGGTTTTCGTCTTTGAATGGACGAAAAACTGAGTTTCGTATAGTGCGTTCGTTCCTAAGTAGCATTCAGCGATCAATGAGTTCGTAACAGAGAGCAACGGATTGAGCAATAATCATTAATGATAAGAGGGACCTGCGCGGTACCATCGATAGTCCTATATACATGTACACATATAGCAGTAAGTACAAAATCGGGGGAAAGTGAGCGAAAAGTGAGAGACAGTCATAAGTCACTGGAGTAAAGCAATGGTGGGTATGCTCGGCATATATTTTCTCATTCAGAGGTATTTCAAAGCGCGATGTGACGGCATAATGTGTAAACAAATACCGCCCACTCGCAACAAACATAGTGAGGAATAGGAAACTGCTTCCGATAATATATGCTGAACGAACAGTAAAGAAAAGCAAATGGTATACATGCATCTCGGAAGTATAATCGTTAGCGGCCGGATGAGACTAGTTCTCTCTCCGTTTGGCTGTCCCGGGGATCTCGTGAAGATAGCTCGTCCCGCAAGCCGGTTGTTATACAGTGGAGGCCCAGCATAACTAATAAAGATTGAGAACACAACGTGAGCAAGATGGATGAAGCAACAGCGCATCCAATAACCCTCGTTTCATGGGAGTTCGAAGCAACAATTCGCAAACATGAAGTGAACACAGAAATCGAGGCTAAGATAGTGCATTATGCGCCATCCCGTTGAGAGGACTCATCAAAAGAGCAAGAGACAAGTAATATCACATCACCCACCTTGTTGTAAGCAACAGTCAAGGACCGGAGGGAGGGCATCCATAAGAGAATTTGAGATAAGCTTGTCCAATCCAAAAGAGGACAGCAGACCAGCAACAACTGAGTAAGGCTCGGAAATGCTTTTGATAGTTGCTCAGCTGTACTCTGGTCTACGTCTAGATCGAATTTGAGGCGCAAGTTCTGCATTTCGGTTGCATCACAGACTTCCGAGATATTTCGATCATCAAAAACCGGAAGGCGCAGGTGATTGTTGCTGAGATTCAGAGACTTAAGCGACGGTAACTGTATGCATATCTGTCAAAGAGGAAAGTACCCGAAAGAGGATATTTCATACCTCAGCTACATCAATCCACCTGCTAATCATGCAACCGTTCAGATCCAGTTGAGTCAGAGAAGGTAAAAGCATTCCAAGAGTTCCACCTGTGCCCGGCCAAAGTGGTGCTGTTTCATTCACTGGTGGGCCTTTGAGAGCGCGGTAAATGGGGACCAGAGTGAAAGCGGCTGACTGCAAGTGAGCAAGAATAGACTGAGCACCTTGTGGGCCGCAACGAGAATGTCTGCTAACGGCTGTCGCACCGGTTTGAGAATGAGAAGGCGAAGGCCTAGTGAACAATTCGACCAGTATGGGCGAAGTTATACCATTGCAAGATCCAGAGTACTCCAATTCATCGTGATCCGTGTCAGAACCGAGGCGTGCAGTTAAAAGACCCGGTGTACTAGTAGCGTGGAAAACAGAATCTTGCTGAGAACCGTGAGCTGATGCATTGGTGATCGGCGTTGCTGTGCGACCCAATAGTTGACACTCTGCACAAAGCACGTAGCGAAAAACCAGAGCTTCCTCTAGACTAGTTCCCAAGGAGACTTTATCTGGTCTAAAAGCAAAGAAAGTAAAGTAAATCCAGGTAAAGAACACAACAAGATAATGGTGGCGTGCAGAATGATAGGCATTCATGTAATAAAGTACGCGGTTATGCGGTGAGCCTAAGCGCGATGAATCCAACCGTTACTAGTGAGGAAAAAAGGAACAGGCGTAAGTGCTGAGGCCAGAAAGAAAAACGGAACAATAAGATGAAGAATGATAGGAAGACAGACGGGTGGAAGCAATAGATATGATTCAACAGCGCCATCAGCGCTGGTATCGAGCCAGGTCTATGGTCATTGATGTAGACGGTAAGCATCATCACGACTAAACTATCGGGTCAATGTTACAGCACATTTTCGCTACGTCAACAACTGACCACCTTTGGGTTTTATCCAAGTAAACACATAAATGACAAACAATAGGAACCGAGATAGCAGTCGACTACATTTGAACAATATGACCATATCAAACTGAAGGTGGTGTCAAAGGTTTCACTGAGAAACGCCACCACGTAAATACGCGGCAAGCTAACTCGATGCTTCTACCCGATACGGAATATGTTGTGCAGACAGTGGTGGCCAGATGATTAGTCTCTTAGCATCTCCAAAGTGAAGTGGGCCTGAGCTCACCGAGGCGATGTACTCCCGGTTACAAATCGACAAACTAAGGCCACATCGTTCTGTGGATGACTAAAGCTGTAGAAAGCCTTACCGATCAGCCTAATAACCTAATCGGTGACTTGACCACCAGATATGATACAACTGCCATCAGGCCTGATGAAGAGCTTGTGTTAAGAGCGAAATGTCGCCGTAATACAAGAATGTACAAGACCAATTTGTGTTTTAAAAACCTTACGAGATTATAAATTTCGGATTGTTTCCAATTTTATTCCAAAAGGTTGAATATGCACAGTCTAATATTTGATAGACTGAAATACCGTCGTCTGCGTAGATGATCGAAACTTTGAAGGGGTAAACGGGTTATAATGACACGTGGGGTAAATTTATTAGTGACACAAACATCCTGCAATTGAAGAAAAAAAGCGTCGAACAGTGCGATACCACGTGTTAGTTTATTGTGTGGAACCTGCGTAGCCGTTAGATCCGATCGAAATGTCATCCATATACAATAGGTTTGTCAGCTGTTTACAAAGCAGTTTCCACCGCAAAAGAGGCAGGGAAGAAACAGTCACTTATGATCACAGTAGTGAAGAACTCAGACCGGTACCGCAGACCATTACCTAGTTCAGAGAACCGTGGCAAAAGTTGAAAAGAAATGATTCGTTCTTTATTCCTCGTGGCATTTCAGGAGCAGAGTTTACCATGCATCGTACACGGCCCGGTGGGTAGTGGCATAGAGGCAGAGTAGGGAATAGTTAGCCCACGTGCGTTGCGTCGATACAGAACGCCAAAAACCGATGCAATCATTTGCATAGAAGCAGTACTCGAGCTGAGAGGGACAACGTTGAGCTATTTGCATGTATGGTGTCGTCACAGCACTTAAGGAGAGGTGGTTCCCGTCGATTTGCCTCATTTAGAATGTAATGAATGTGGGCAGCTTACAGGACGTAGGGATAAGGTTAACACGACCACATTTGCACACTATCTAAAAGCCACTGCAAAAGATGAGCAGGAGGACCTGCAAATATCGGATAAAAGACACTTTATTAGGGTACGCCACAAGGTTTGAGTGAGATACCACAACTTTATCAGTGAAGCAAGTCGTCGAATCTACGCATCGTATTTTTTAGCAGCCCGTTTTGCGTCGCCGAGCTGATACAATTGGAAACATAGTCGGCGGCTTACCAACTGCAGATGGCCCGGTAGACTGCTGAAGAAGAAGCAATATGCAAACTGAAGAATATATAATGCTACACAAGACAGCAAGCGCTTGAAATTTGCGTGGGGGCTGAGGAATGGATGAGTTTTCGGCAGAAAAAGCAAACGAAGCTCAGCAACAGTATCTATCTTTGACTGAAGCCGTCTGCTAGTTGTCAGCACCATCACAAAACTGAAACACACGACAGCAGCGATTAAGGCTGACAGTGTTTGAGAGACTGTCAAACCCTCCACTAACCGCAAGGTCTAAGCACCAGTTCGATGGCACATTGGATTATGGCGAGAATGACGTTTACACCCACATTAATTGTCGAGCGTTTATCCGGCTAAATTTGGTGTCTGCCTGAGATTGAAACCAATCATAGTTTGCAGTCAATGACAGGCAAATAGAACCGCAGACATTAGATCCACTCCGTGAATTGGGGAATTTAGGATCGGTTATTACGAGTAATTCAGCATTATGGCCCAAGAAAAAGACCTTAGAGAGTTGACTTTAAAGGAAAAGATTAGTAGGCTACATGTTCTGGAAATTAGTAGCAAAAGAAAGACGACAGAGCATTTTGGAGTTAGCAAAACAATAGTTTGCGACATCCAAAAACAGAAACATGAGTACTTGGAGACCTACGATAAGGAAAGACGGGATAAATAGCGGAAGAAGCGGAGAACCTCACAAGATGAAGTCAATAAGGTTACGCTATGCTGGTTCAAGCAAATAAGCGCAGCTAACGCTCGAATTACCGGGCCGATTGCTATAACGCTTTTTCTTTCCCTCTGCTTTCTGCCACTGACCACTGTTGTACTGCTGCTAGCTGCCCTATGAGACCGCCAATGTCTGATTTCTCAGTCACGCGCCCAGCCAACCGAAGGAATATAAAAAGCCAGAACTCGGTAGACAGAGAGTATATCTACAGGATAGGTTAACTTTATTTATTGTTAACCGAAACACGCTACTAGGAGGTCAAGGTCGCTCACTATTCTAGGTCTGGTTTTTCAGCCAGTGTGTTCCATTCCACGGGTTAATCATATTGACGGAGTAGTTCGATTCCTTTGAAGCGCGCTGGTATTTACTGGCCGATGAATTCTCACTCGATTCCCAAATTCAGCCCCGTTTGCATATCAGTTATATACCTTTTCGAATTGAGTCACCTTGCAGACCCTACGAACTTGATCGTGCTCGTAGCTTTTCGCCCGGGGATCGATTTGCAGCCATTGTGAGCTTTTCCGCTTCCCAGCCTACCAGCATTGTGCATCTGGTGTTTGCGGCATTTGTGCTGTCTCACCAGGTTGCTGACACTCAACTTTCAGTCCGAACGTGTCTAGCAGAATGTTCCAATGTAAAGCTGGTGGTTCATGGGGACCTAGGGTTTTGCCACTCGGACTCAAGAAATGGAGAAGGCAGGAGCAGTAGGCAAATTACCGCAAGCTCTTCCAGCTGATCCGAACCACTGGTCCCAGGAAACCAGGCGTCAGTGAGACAGAGCGGGTACACTGATACACAATAAGGAGCTCACTGGGCAAAACACTTGCAAGATCAGTTCAGCTGGCCCCCTGCTCCCGGACTTCTTCCTACTCAGATAATGCAGGACAAGCGATGGATGGTTAGTTTAGAGTCTCCGTCGGCGGCCGAGATCAGAAATGCGATCACAGCCCTCAATCGTTTACGTGCCGCTGGCCCGGATTCCTTCCCACCTGAACTATTTAAGGATGGAGGTGAGGTCCTCTGCAAAGCACTGACCTCCCTACTCGAACGTATCTGGAATGAAGAGAGTGTCCCGGCTGATTGCAGCGAATCGATTATAGTGGCATTGTACAAGAAAAGCACTCTCATCGACTGTTCTAACCACAGCGGTATTAGCCTAACGCCAGTTGTGACAAAAGTACTGGCCTCGATTCTCGTTCATCACCTCACCGTGGAACGAGAATCTCCGACTAGAGAACAGCAGGCCGGTTTCCGCCCAGGGCGTGGCTGTATACACAATATATTCACTTTGCGATAGGTGCTAGAGCAGTGCCACGCATATCGCAGACCGCCAATAGCTGTGTTCCTTGATTTCAAGGATGCGCTCCATTCAGTCGATCGATGCATTCTGTTCGAAATACTTGCGCGAAAAGGTGTTCCCACGAAATATGTGAACATCCTACGTGCTCTATACTCGAACACTACCAGGCGCGTCAGGGTCTACCGTGGCCTATCGGATAGCTTTCCGACCACAAGTGGCGTTCGTCAGGGTTGTCTGATTTCCACACTTTTGTTCCATTTCGTCGTGGATTCTATCATGGAGTGTTCCCTTGCGGAATCTCACGATGTAGGCGTTGAAGTGCTGCCTGGTGAAACATTAGTTGATCTTGATTATGCGGACGATATCGTCTTGCTTTTCAACGATGTTGTGGTGGCACAATCAACCCTGAATAGCCTGTCTAGATTGGTCCCATTATTTGGTATGCGCTTTGCACCTCCAAAGTGTAAAGTGTTGCTCCAAGACCACCAGCCACTTTGTGACCCCTTGACCCTTACTAACGAGGAACTCGAGGTGGTTGATCATTTCACTTATCTTGGCAGATGCATCAGCAACGATGAACGCATAGCAACTGACGTCAGCTCCCACATTGCAAAGGCCAGAACTGCCTTCTTGAACCTGCGGCATCTTTAGCGACAGAAGGGAATTTCCGTTCGTCTGAAAGGCGGTGTATACAAGGCCACAGTGAGGGCCGCTCTGCTCTATGGTAGTGAGACTTGGCCCCTTCGGTCTGAAGATGTGAGGTGCCTTCAAGTCTTTGGTCATCGTTGTCTACGAAGCATTGCTGGTGTCGGATGGCACCATGTCCGCAACGATGATGTGCGTAGGCGAGTACTAGGTGATGATAATCATGCTAGCTCCCTAGAACAACAGATAGCACTGAATAAGTTGCGTTGGCTCGGGCACGTGCTACGCATGCTTGGTCCCCGCTTACTTAGGAGGGCCTTGTTTAGTCTCCCAAGTGTAGGGTTGCGCAAAGCTCGAGGTGGACAGAAGTTGACTTGGCAGCGGGAAATGAAGTTACTGACGACCAAACGGGGTGCCGTTAATCCGATTCGTCTTCCGGGTTGGAGTCCACGTGACTCGCCTGGTGTTTGGCTCGAGACTTTACAGGACATGGCTCGCAACCGACACCAGTGGCGCGTCTGCTGCCG